CTAAATATTCACATTTTAAACAAGAAGTTGAGAATTTATTAAAATTAATTTATTCAACTAAAACCAATATAGGAAAAAATATAATTAAATAAAAAAAAATTAAAACAAAAATAAAAAATCAAGGTTATGCATGCGAGAAAGCCTGTACCCACCATCACAACAAAAAAAAAAAAAAAAAAAAAAAAAAAAAAATAATAATAATAATAATAATAATAATAATAAAATAAATAATAATAAAAAAAATCTAATGATAGTCATGAGTATTGTCAATCTTCATTTTTTTCTTTTTTTCTTTTTTTCTAAAAAAAATTATTATTCACTGTTATAGGACCTGACAAAAATAAAAATACGAAAATAAAAAGCAAAACGCATACACCAAACCGGCCTTAAGTAGTAGAACTTAATTTAGGTAGTATACCGAAAGTTGTAGCCTAATATTAAATATACTAAATATTCACATTTTAAACAAGTAGTTGAGAGTTTATTAATATTAATTTATTCAACTAAAACCAATGTAGGAAAAAATATAATTAAAAAAAAAATTAAAACAAAAATAAAAAATCAAGGTTATGCATGCGAGAAAGCCTGTACCAACCATCACAAAAAAAAAAAATAATAATAATAAAAAAAATAAAATAAAAATAAAATAAAATTACCCAGCCTAATGGCAGCCATGAGTATTGTAAACTTTCGCCTAATTAAACATGAATGATGTGATTGATTGTGGACTTATTGGGGGCAGCAGGCTTTCCCATTCCGTTTCAGTTGTAAAAATTAAGATGTATGCAATTAATTAAGGAGAGCAGGTCAAAGTAATAGGAAATTAAGAAAAGAAAAGAAAGAGAAAATAAACAAATAAAGAGAGGATTATTATTTTTTTTTTCGGTAACTAACTATATAAAGAAAAATTAATTAAGTATATGAAGATGTATTTACAGTAATATATCAATCTTTTAAAATATCCCGGTGGAGAGAATACAGACACCATGTCTGCCATTGTATACAAGCCATCTTTAAAATCCATCGGTCCTGATCCCCACTTCAAGATATCCCCAATATCATTTGCCTCCTCTATGAGTTCATGTATCAATAAGACAGAGAGATTTCATTAGGTATTAAATACATATATTTATATTACTATATAAATTAATGAATTTTGCAGCTGGAGATAAGTATGCTCTCCAGCCCTCTATTTTATCAAGGGAGGAGATTGGACAAGTAAGTGAGCCTCACCTACAATTGTCCACTCTCAGGTGTTTTGTATATTGCGTGTGTGTGTATATATATATATTACATACCAAATATCTCGCAGTTAATAAATTCGCTGAACATACTCCAATTTGGAAAATTACCTGAAAGTCAACCAAACAATTTAGTTAATTATAGAGAGGGCACACACAATTAATAGTTTGTATATATATATGTGTGTGTGTGTATGTACGCACTTGTATCTAGTGGCCAAAGTATTCTTGAACAATTAACTAAACTAACTAACAAGTCCCAGTTATGGTAAATTGCAGAGAGGTTGAATGGCAATTCTTCATCCGCATCTGGATTTCCCGATAATGATACAATCCACTCGGGGTTATCGTTAACTAATGCTTCTGATATTGTTGTGTTTGCAGCTCTGGCGGCAATATGAAGTGGTGTGTCACCGTAACCATCTTTGACAAACAGCTTTCCAGCCTTTTCATCACCAGAAAGATCACTGATTGTCTCCATCCTTTTTAAAAGCTCTTCCACCAACTTCACGTTCCCGTGCGAAATGGCAATGTGCATAGGCGTCTCCCCTATTGTGGAAACCCTAGCGTATGCTGCAGCTGGATCTTTATCCAGAAACTCTTTCACTTTTTCCAACTCACCCTTCACCAACCCCATGTATAGGGGTATATATTTAATTATATCATAATCATCATCATATTTAATCTCTCTTTCATCCTCAATTGTAATTGCTACATATGGTGGTGCTGATGGCCTTAACCTGCATATATATGCACATTTAATTAATATATGTATCATCAGAATCAATAATCACTTACCACGAAATGCTTGGCTTCATCTTTCACATGCACTAGTCTGTTTGATGCAGTATTCTGATATATAATGCAAATGTTAGAAAAAAAATGATAAACATATAGAAAGGAATTAGGTCTTACATGATGAGAGGCAAAGGCTGACGCTCCTCTTCACTTTCGCCCACTTGTGGAAGTTTATAGTTATACATATAATCGGTTTACGTCCAACGCTTGCCTTTTATTGTAAAATTTATTATTCCTTCCTCCTCCTCCACGCAAATAAAAAGGTTATTCTTCATACAGGTTTTTTTTTTTTTTTTTTTTTTTTTTTTGTGTGTTTGTGTAAAATTATTAACTGTCACAGTGTTCTGTCACTTTTTATTCCTCTTAATGTCGGATTTTGATGCTAGAACTATAATTATTTCACGGGCACTGATCCTTTACAGTACAACACTCCGGTTGGATTGAACGGCCGTGATTGCATCACATAATAATTTGTAAAATGATCATATATATATGGTGTTTACAGAAAAATCTCAACGTACTCGATCTTTTTTCACAAGTATAATTCTCTACTTTGATTGATGAACTCCTTTTTCACAAGTATAATGCTTTACTTAGCACACAAACTATGATGTTGATACCCGCTTTAGTTATACATGTGATTTAGATGTCTGTTTAAACATGGAGTAAGAGTAAGACTTATAGTGATGAGGATGTCTTCAACAAACTCCCGCACTCATTATAGTATTTTTTTTAAATAATATTTATTCAGTAAGGTGTTTTCGAAATACATTGTTATGTACATCAGTACGTATTTTTTTCCCGGTAATTTGTACATCACAATGTTGTTAGAGCAGTCAATCTATATTTGTTATATGAAAAAAAAAGAAATTTGTTATTTGTTATTGGTATGAAATTAGTGGTGTTCATGATCAAAGGTTAACGCGTAACGAGCCCGACCTTGGAGTTTCCTCAAATTTCAAGCTTCACTTTTGAGGGGGAAAAAAAAACTTTCATTTCTCTTAAATATATGTACACTATGTGCCAATCGATGTCAATATATATATAAACTATTATCAAAAGTATTATTTTTTTAATAATATAAATATACTTTTTTCCTAATTCTATTCTATTTCTACCTCTTAAAAGAGTTGATATTAAACACCAATTCTTCTTTTCATTAAATTAAAACTCTTTAATTTTATTTTATTCAAAAATCTATATCTATAGCTATATATTATTATTATTATTATTATTATAGCTATAGATATATTAATAATATATTGAAACTATTTTGTACTATTATTAAAAGTACAAAAAAGTTTCAGTATATTATTTATATTTATATAATACATTTTTAATAATAAATATACCAATAAAATCCTAAACTCTACCAATTACTCCTAAGAATTAATATACGGAATTATTTTTATATTTAATTTTTTATAATGTACTTAGAATTTTGTATACTTAGAATTTTGTATAGTGTTATTTATTTCAATATATAATATATGCATGTTTATATATAACCAAAAAATAAGAATGCAAAATTATTCTTATATATGTTTTTTTTATCCTTTATAATTCTTTTTATTTTATGCATTTCCACTCAAGTGCAATGGACCTGCGTTTTACTAATATACTTAAATATCTATATTTATACTATTAAAAGTACAAACAGTTAAAGTATATTATTTATAATACATATTTAATGATATAAATTGACATTTTCTATTCTATTATCATTATAACTCTTTCCTTTACCTTTTTTCTAATTGTATTATCTTTCTAACTCTTTTTGCACGATCCGAAGATGGGGATCTTTCCTACAACAAAAGAAAACTGATGATCGACATGGTGTCAGCCGTTTGTCCCGTACCATTTGAGTTACCGACCTCTCCTTTTATATGAGAGTTAATGATAGTCGTATACATCTAAGGAATTGGTTCCCTTAACTTCTCTACCTAGGAGAGTGGAGTTGGGGAACTCCACTATCCATGTTACTCCATCTTTCCTATATTAGTTGTCTATTTTGAATAGCATAACTCTTTAAGGAGATATGCAATTATTATTGTATTGTTACATTTTAAAATTACTAAGTACGAGTAATCATTTTAACTTTAAATATATGTATTATTAAGTTAAGAGAATTTTGTAAAAGTTAAAGGGTAATTATGGAAAAATAGCCTTCAGTTTGTTTTGAAAAGAGAATGGAACGATTAATTTAAACCCCAAGGAGTTGGCCTAGTTAGAAAATACTTGAGCCCTGATCAAGGAAGTATCAGGTTTCAGAATCGATTCTCCTCTAATTGGGACATTCGTGAAAAAAAAAGTCGACTATTAATATGGGACAGTATCGTGCATTATTGGGTGGTAGTTTTTCCTTTTTTACATTCCTGTTGCTGTAAGAATTCATATTGAAAGGGAGCTAAAGAATTTTTTTGGGGGTCATAATGAAGGGGGAAAGAGAATTCATTACATGAAGTACTGGTCTATAGTTACTTCTTGTAAGAAAGGTGGGTTTAGCATTAGGAAGATCAAAGACATCGAGTATTCTACCAAATGTAAATTTCTTTAGGATATTCTACATAGAAAACCCAAGATATGGATAAAATGGTTAGAGAAGAAATATTTTTCGTAGGTTAATATTTGGAGATGTAGAACCCAATCCTATGCATCTTCTATTTGGAAACATAGACAGGGTCTTTTATGCAGCAGCACTTGTATGGTGTTTGATGTTGGAGAGGGCAGTAATTTTCTTTTATACAATTACCATTGGTGTGGTGGGAAATATTGTTGTTCAGAAGCAATAATTTAAAAAAAGTTTCAATAAAAAAATGAATTAAAAATGTGTGATTTCAAGCATATATATATTCTTTCATTTTCAGGGATGATGCATTCACCTAGTCTCCTAGATAAGAATAACGCATTTCATCTTTCAAAAATATATTATGCTTGAAGCATCATCCATACAACAAGAAGTACAAATAGCAGTTATATTGAACCACGATAATTAAGAATTATGTAAATGACATAATAATATCCACAATCATTGCATATTAATTATACATTAAAAGAATCTCTGCCTTCTCCGGGAACATAGTTATTTGGGTTGTTGAAGAAGGAACATTTTGTTTTTCTATTGAAGATACCACCATAGGTAGATGAGACCATGTCAACAAACAACGGAAATTGCAGTAAAGCAAATAAGGTTACTGGGACGCTAGCAAGCAAAGTGACTGGAGCAGCAGCCCAGCTTATCCGTTCGCCAAGCACAATAACAAGAGTGGAACCAAAAGCTACCATCATGGCGGCAATAGACACGAAAAGGGCGGCAAGACCAATTATCAATCTTTTGGGTAATGCCTTGAGGAAGTCTTTTTCCTCAAAGCGTGAAGTGAGGATGCTTAGGAACATTAACACTGCAGTAGCTGAAGAAAATAGAGATAATGCATCTGATATAATGAAAACCATAAAGGAGTTACGCCCTAGGAACTTGGGGTTCCCTGACTCATCATCAGTACCACCTGGTAATGTGAAGGCTGCAGCAAACATAACAGTGACAATGAGAGTGGCCACAATCGTACATGATGTTGCTGTATCTCTCAACCATTTTTCTCCTTCTTTGACTAATTCAGAATGCCATTTTGAGAACAAAACTGGAGGTGTTTCTCCCTTTTCGTTAGCAAGAATTCTGTATGAAGATGGTACCATCCTCTCTACATCCTATCACGATTAATGAAACAGACTAATTAAATTAATAATAAAAGTTTTGACTAATTAAGTACTCTCAATCTAGCTGTATAAAAGCTTGTTTAATTCCACTATTTATATTATGAGTCAACAGAAGGGCTCAAAGACATTACTAACATTGATTTAATATTTGAGGGATGATTCTGAAGTTAAAAAAAAGAAATTAATTAAGCTAGCTAGCTCCAAATGGGTTGGAGTGCATATACACTATATATCTAGAAGGTTGAAGAATATATCGATGGATGATATATATATATATATATATAGAAAGTTAAGAATAAATTACCACCTTGTACCATTGTAGTTCTCTCTGCACTTTCATAGCTGCACCTGGGGCCTTACTGAATACCTTCCAGAACGGTTGTTCTCCTTGTTGCAACATTTTTGAAGCTTCATCTGGAACTCCTATGATTTCAGAGGTTACCATCGGGCATGCAGCTATATGTAGTATGCTGTTCTTTTCTAACAGAGTTCCAAGGATTTTGTTTCTCTGTACAGATGTTAAACCATAAATGAGGTTCCATATTTTCTCCTGACGGTAAGCTACAGCAATGTGAAATATGCTTCCGCTTTTCCTATTCCCCCATAACAAAGCAGGATTCGACCTCAGGACTTCCTCGACAAATTCAACATTCCCACATTTGATGGCTCTTTTTATTGCCTCAAAGTATACTCCAACATGTTTAGAATCGAAAGTCCATACTGGGGAACACATATGGCTGAGTAGTTCACTGGCATGCATGTTTTCTTCCTTCTTTTTTGATATATCTTCCTTAGTCACTGAAATTCTTATCCAAGTATAAATATTTTTTAAAAAGAAAGAGAGAGAGAAAAAAAGAAGTTTAAATAGAAAAAGTAATGGGAATTGGGAAAGCATGCCGTACTCTGCGTACCTATTGCTTGAAGAGCAACTAGAACGCAGAACATTAATGCTTTCAGAAAACGGATCACTGTTATAGATAAGAAAAAAACAGCAATTGAATTGTCTTTGCAGAACATATCTAATTAAAAATTAATACCTAAAACATATATATAATATACAATATTGGTTTTGAACCCTGCAGATCTCCTCCTCATACCTCAAGCTACCAAATATTTAAGACACCGGGGCATAAATCGCAGGTCATTCCACATCGTTGAAATTTTAGATACGGGGATTTTAATTTACGAGGACAATGCATGGAAACTAACAGAGAGGTGCATTTAGATGACAAAAAAAATGTTTGGCCCAAGTAGTCCTGCATATAAGCTAGGAACATTAGAATTAAGGGACTGAATTGAAAACATTCCTAAATAATTTCAGTCAGAATTTGCATCAAGTGACTGCACTGCACTGCAACTAATATATTCTCATACTTGGTGGAATCAGCACTTTCATCTTATATGTATATTGCTACTATACCCCTAGTAAAACAAATAACCCCCTAAACTGTCAAAAAGTTGCAAATAAACCATTCCATATGAATTGACTTGTATACCTGTACAATGAAAAAACTATATAATAAATAATACATTTTGATAAATTTGATCTAAAAGAAAATTGTTAGGAGAGTAATAAACTTGTTAGAGTAAATTTGAAGAGATTTGAATTTTTTAATGACTTCTAATCAAAAGTCATAAAATGACGTTTATACCCTAGTGTGATGGGTTTTCATCCCTTTTTGTAATGGGTTAATTAACGGCAGGGGTAAGTTACAGGTTTCAGTAAAGATGAAGAATTTTTTATTTTATTTTTTATATTTTTTTTTTTTTAAAAAAAAAAACGATATTTTAGTCTTTAGAGGAGTTATCTGTATAAACATATTATACTGGAGGGGAGTTTTGTGCAATTTGGCCTTATACTTTTTACTTAATAAAATAATATTAGCTTTACTCTGCTATATTTTTGGTTATCGATCCTGTCATGTCCAATGATACACAGGGCAAAATTTCCTTTTCATAGAGGTTGCAAGAACAATACTACCCAATCAAATTGTTTCAATGAAAAATATTGGACAATATGGAAAAGAGATCAAGAGATACCCATTGAACAAATATATTCGAACCTTCGGAACTGGTAGGTGCAAATATAGCTTCATTATAATTATTTATACCTACAAGAAAGAAAAAGAATGATACTATCATTTAGTAGAAACACATTTGAGTGTTATAATATTATTATTATTTTTTTTTGCGAGATTTCATTAACTTTTTTTTATAATTAAAGAAACAAACTAATACCAGAGAATGAGTCTGTATGATATATAACAGTTCAACTATTTGAAAATTTATTATCATAATGAATGTTCCATTCCACTGACAACTAGCGTTTCATTTGAAGGAGAGGAGGTATCACTCGAGTTGAACTTTTCGTGTTGAAATTGCACTTTTATTCACTGAATTTATATCCAACATATATATTCGTTGAACTTCTCATGATAGCATTACACTTAATTAATTTAACTAAAATCAATGTCATGCACCGTAACTAAAGACAATTGAATGGTTTTAGGTGCGAAAATTGCATGGGGAGGATTGACTGGGCCGAGGCAACATATAATATGTCCCGGTCCTTTTCAGTTGTTAAAATTAAGATGTGCAATTAATACAATATTCGTGTAATTATTAAAGAAGAGTGAATCAAATTACTAATATTCATCCAAAGGAAAGGAAAGACGAGGATAAATAAATAAAGATAAAGTAGAACAGAGTAATTCATTTACAGTTGATTAGCCATCTCTCAAAATTTGTGAATTGATTTGCAGTCGAGAATACAGAGGCCATCTCTGCCATTCTATACAAGTCATCATCTTTAAAAGTCATCAATTCTGGTTTCTCCATGTTCCAGATCCCCAGTGCCAAACCTATGGATGTATGTATCAATCATATTCATATTCATATATATATATATATAATGAAATTTTGCATGTGTCAGCAGCTAGCATTTATAAGATTTCATTCAAGTATAAGATACATACTTGTTTGTGTGTATATTACATACCAAATTGCTCGCTCATAATAAATTCGGTGAACATCGTCCATTTCTTTTCTTCATAATAATCTGAAAGTCAAACAAACAATCTGGTTAATTAAAGAGCCCGATCCATCATTGTTGAGAATATTAGAGAAATTATAAAGAGTAAAAAATTAATTAATTAAACACAATGCTACACCACTTAAAATATTGGGTAGACGAGACAAGACAAGTGTGTAGTGTAGCATTGCGTTTAATTAATTAAATATTTACTCTTATACAATGTTTGGGAGCACCAAATCGGTCTCTTGAATTTGGAATCGGAGAAAATTTAGCTCAAAACTTAAACTGACAAAAAAAAAAAATAAAAAAAAAAAATACTGAACTTCCTCCAATTCCAATTTCAAGGTGTCAATTCGGTGCTCCCAAATGCAATACAAAAATTTTAACTCACTTACTGCGAGAATGTTGGGCAACAATCCAACCGCCCCACCCTAAAATATCCAAATTGCTGCGAGAAAAAGTGGGAGTTGTCCATCTGCATCTCCTACTCCTCTTCCTGTAGTAAATTGCAGCGAGAGTGAGTGGGAGTTGTCCATCTGCATCTCCCAGTGCCATGAGAGAAGGTGAGTGTTGAACTAATGCATATGTTATGGTTGTGTCAGAAGCACTCCTGGCAGCAATATGAAGGGGCGTGTCACCATATTCATCTATTATACTACTGATACTACTCACTATACGACCCATCCTGCCAAGAAGCTCCTCCACCAACTCCGCGTGGCAATGCGAAACAGCAATATGAAGAGGTGTTTCCCCTAATGTGGAGATCTTAGCAGATATTGCATCTGGATGTACATCAAGATATGCTTTCATACCTCCCAAATCACCCTTCACCAAGGCCCTATATAGGTGTATATATTTAATTATATCATCATCCCTACTTCCAGCTGCCTTTTCTTTTTCTGATGATGTCGACGCCCTTGACCTGCATATGCATGCTCTATTAATTTTTATGTATAATAATATACATACATATATATATTCACACACAAACACAACAATTACTAAGAATTGTTGTATAGAAATTAATACTTGCTGCAGTATTAATTATATAACCTCATGAAAAAGAATTTAAGTGCTAACCAAAAGCCAAATGCTGCTTAATTACAACTCCCACTTCAATATAAAAAATTTAAGCAAACATATAAGCCTTAATTAGAAAATGGTATACATATATATAGACAGTAATTAGGATCTAATAAGTCCACAAGTATATAATATATATATATATATCTTACATGATTAAGGAAAGTGGACGCTAGCTAGCTCCTCAGCCTCCTCTTCATTTCCTCCACTTCTGGAAGTTTATAGTAATATAATTGGTTTCCAACAGTTGCCTTTTATAGTAAAATATATTATTCCTTCCTCTTCCTCTCCCTCTTCCTCTTCCTCTTCCTCCAGGCATATTAAATAAAGGGTAGGTATGTTATTCTTCTCACAGTTAATTGATTCTGCTTTACTCTCAAATTGAGAGCATTATATTATTCAGTGGCATGTGATATACGTGTCCTTTTTCTTTTTCCTTTTAATGTGGGGTTTCTGATGCTTGGCCTCTCATCTTTTCACAAGTATAATTCTTTTTCTTCACACACACAACATATGGTACTGATGAGGATCTCTTCGACGAGCTCGTACTCTCTTTACAGTATTTTTTGTAAAATATATTCTTGGTAAGGTTTTCCCGAAATATATATACTGTTTTGTACATTTGACACAGTACTTTATGTTGTTACAGACTTAGAGCATTCAACATTGATATTTTTATGAAATTAATGGTGTTGATGATCAAAGGTAAAAGTAATGTGTCACACCTTAATTCTTGTAAATTATGTGTAATGTAATATGGAGGAAGTGGTGGTGGTGGTTTTTCATTTCTTTCCCTTTTCTACTTAAGGTAGATTTACTGGCTTCATTTAAACAAACATTAAAAAAATTACGGTCCGTTTAAGATTTGAGGCCATATAAAATTCAATTTATATATATATAGTATGGCATTCCATGCTTCTCATGAGCTAATTCAACAACTAAGTCTTCTAATGTTACACCGTTCTAATGTTATTCCTTTGTAATATGTTAATATACTCTTGTCGGTCTATTCTTCTCAATTAGATTGAACCGGACCACCACAATTAAACTGTAACCATATAAGAGGCAAATCATAATATATAGATACAGAGAGATGGTAAAATAGAGGCATTTACAGTTGTGCATCCATCTTGTAAGATTTCCAAGTTGATTTCTGCCTGAGAAAGTAGAGGGCATCTCTGCCACTGTATATAAGGCCATCGTATCCCTGCCAAGCCCGGATTGATTTCTATCATGTTCAGTGCAAAACCTATGGAAGTAACAGTCAGTTAGATATAACATTTACTGCAACTTAAATCCTAATTGAGAATAATATTTCCTTCAATATTCAATTTTTCACTTCAGAACAGAAGAAAACTCCTATTTATTTTGTAACCATTAGCTTTAAAAGTTGGCAAGATAGGCAATCCCAATAAACCTGATTGTTCAAGCAATTTTACATTATCGGATTTTTTTACCCCCAAGGAAATTTTCCCCTTTTGGTCTGACACTAGCAACATTGGAAAAAAATTAAATAAAAAAATAAATAATCACTATCATATACATGGTTACCATCGGATTCACCACAAAATCGTGAAATTATTTCAAAAAGGGTTTTCATCTCAGAGTCTCGGCCATAGTAACATAAATGTTACATGATGATGCCAAAAATCTCTGTTCTGCTCTCTGGGTTGAAAGTTGTGTAAAATATCATATGTTTTTTCTTTTAGGTTTTTATTTCATAGGAGTTGAAACAACTTTGACCATCACCATTTTGCAGCAAATTGAATGAACCAGAAAACAAATAAGGTTACAGTTCTCATTCCAAATTTCCCAGTTGCAGACATGCCATAAAAATGGTAAAGATAAAGATAAAGACAAAGAAAGAAATAAGAATCTAACAAATCAACAAACATAATATTTATAAGCTTACAATAAAACTAAAAGAGAGATGATGATGATCACTTACTGAAAAGAAAAGTGGCCACTCTTCTTCACTTCCTCTTTTTCTTGGCAAGGCTCTTCTTTTTCTGTCTCTCGCAACTTTGTAGTATTAAGTTCGTTTAGGTTAGGTCCAAATCCAACATTTGCCCTTTTTTATAGTAGGTAAAGTCCCATCTTTTTCAAAGCATAATTCTTTTCTTGAGAGATGACAATGTCGTGTCAATATCAATGTCTGTATACAACAAGATTGTGCTTTTAGTTTGTGTGGGTTTATATTATGGGAACAACTCGGACTGGTGGTTTGGATTAGAGCTATAATTTTAGTTCGAGGTTGAGATTTGTTTTAGGGCCGACCACCAATTACATCGGATTGGATTGGGCATTTACTAAATCCTATCCCTGTGATTCATGAAAATTGAATCTAATTTGTTTTGTCACATCACAGATTACATTGGATCGGATACAAGCGTTTTGGTTGTCTATACTTATTTTAAAATAGTTCAAAATTATTATTTTTTACCATTGACTAATAGATGAATTTTCAAACATTATTTAATCTTAAAAAGTTAAGTCCGCCTTTAGGTTAAAAGTTAGTATAACTGAAAATAATAAAAAATAAATAAAGAAAAAAGAAATGGTATATATATATATATATATATAAATTTAAATCGGATCAATTTTTTAAGACCTCAATCTGTTAACCGATTCATGGATCGACCGCTGAATCCGTATTTATCAATACATAAACGAAGCGTGAGATATATATATATAAATTTAAATCGGATCAATTTTTTAAGACCTCAATCTGTTAACCGATTCATGGATCGACCGCTGATTCCGTATTTATCAATACATAAACGAAGCGTGAGCATAAAAAATCATTCCAATTCACACTAATCGGATTGGATATGATCAATTTCATGGATTGACAGCTTAAATGAACACCCCTAGATTTTCAATAAAGGTCCAATTTGAATTGTAAGAATAGTTATCCAAGTCGACTCGAGTTGAGTTTAGATTAGATTGGCCAAGTTGCACTCTTTATTATATAAATACATATACTCTATACTCTTAACAATAAACATCCGTATAACTAACTAGAAGTGCAAATAGCAATCAAACCTTTGATTAAAAAAAAAAAAAAAAAAATTTGTCAACACATATATTTTTTTCCCGGAAAAGCAATGTATATAAATGAGAAAAACTGTACAGAGTCCAAAGATTGGGCCAACCCAAGAACAACAAGGGACATGGCCCAAAAGAAACAAAACAAGGGAGTTTATTAGAACAGCCGAACGACTAACAGGTAGAACTTGATAACATGGGAGACACATTTAAGCTTAATATTGTATGGTAGATTTGTTGGGAAACGTGCAAGTTTTAAAACTTTTCGAGGGATTTTGATTAATAGATCTTGATTCATCACATAGAGACAAGTTTTACGCAAAAATAAAAATATGATGTATCATTCAATTAACAGATTGAATACTTACATCAAAGGTCTGAGTAAACCTTTAAAACTTTCCTCTAAAGTGAATGTTCTCACTTATTGTAGATCCCTTTTGCTAGACACCTTTTCCATGGATCTCCATCTTCTTGGTAATTGTTTTGCCTTTAGGAATCACTCATAAGCCTCCATAAATGACCTTGAAAAACTAGACTTGTGGGAGCCTCCATTAGATGAGAACATAAACACTAATTTTCTAAAGAGAGAAAATAATTTTCTAAAATATACATAGACCATGTATATTTATAGGCAACATAAAAATAAAGAAAAGGAAATAACAAATCCTTCTCCATCTCTTATTCATATGTCTCAAATCTAATATGATTCCAATATCAAGTTGGGCTATGATTGAGAATCCATTGGGCCTATTATTTTATTGGCTACAATGAATTAATAATTGGCCCGGTCCATGGACCCAATTCAATTAATTCATAAATTAATTTCTACTCCACTAAAAGAAATTAATTGAACTCCAATTAAATAATAAATAACATCTAAGTCAATATTGCACTTTGACCCCTCTATGCATAATTAGTTATCGAATAAATAAAGCCATCAATCCGACTACTTAATTAATATATTTATTTTGGTACCTCTGATTATTTCTGGCTCGATCACAATAAAGCATTTGTTTGACAAAAATAATAATTTAAATAAATAAATATATAATAAATCATTCTGTCTAAAAACACACGAAGGCCTTCGAATTTACTTTGTGATCAACCATAATCAATACAAAATAAATACAAGTAGCAATGATGCAAATATTGAAAATATAACCCTCTAACTATTAATTACATAATTACCCAAAGTGTCGGTTTAAGAATCTCGAAGAATCCGCCGAACAAATCAAAGTAATTATTAATTAATAAAAGAGTCTATATTTTTCTCATGCTTAAGAGTCAAATGCCATGACGGTGATAGGGAGTAATTGCATACGACGGCTCTCGCAATATATCTCAACCTAACGCGAATCCAGTTCAAGTCTTAATTAATTATGAGTCCATCCATAATTACTGACTATGAACAATTTATAATTACTATTTATATATTATGCATTGATTGCCATCACATACATATATATAAATATTTCTTATAATTACATGGACACTATCAATTTCATAGTGAATCGAAACATAATACATTGAATTCACCAATTATATAAATCATAAATATTTCAGATATGTCAGGAACATATGTCACTATAATCCAGATAGGAATTTGCTATGTCAGGGCATATAAATCCCAACAGCTCCCACTTGCCCTCATAGCCAATTCAAATTGCACCTAACTCCAATGTTATCCAGATAATGATCAAAATTATTGATCAATGACACCTTTGATAATGGATCAACAAAGTTGTGTTCCAATGCAATGTTCTAACTACAAGTGCATTTTCTTGCCGGACAATATCATGTAGAACATGATACTTCCTCTCAGTGTATCTTGTTCCTCTATGGAACCTTGGGTCATTGGTTTGGACTACTTCTGCACTATTGTCACAACATAGCTTAATAGGCAGGCTAGTATACTCCACAACCTCTAAATCAGTGAGATCAAACTAATAGGCTTCCTTTGCCGCCTTTAAGGCTGCAATATATTCCACCTACAGGTTTGAGTCAGCAGTTGAAATCTGCTTAACAATCTACCAACTGATCTCCCTTCCATTAAGTGAACATACACTAAGTCATGAACCTCATAGTATCTACTTTTGATTGAAAATCAGAACTAGCATACCTGACTAGGACCGTATCATCATATCCATAAATGAATATGATATCATTGGTTCTCCTTAGGTACTTAATGATATTTTTCACAATAAACCAGTTGTCAAGTCCAGTATTGGACTGATCTCTACTGACTATCCCTACCCTGTAGCGGATGTCCTGTTTGGTATAGACCATGGCATATATGAGACTCTCATATGCCGAAACATATTGTTCCAGTCTCATTTGCTCAATCTCCTTTGATAGTCTTGAAAAACTACTTACTAGAGAGAGCTATCCATATCAATAAAGCAAGAACTCATTCTTTGAGTTATGCATACCAAACCTGGTCAAAACTTTATCAATGTAGGATTATTAAGATAAGCCTATTTTCCTTTTAACCTGATCTTGCAAAAGCTTGATCCTAGGAATCTAGCTTACATCCTGAAAATCCTTCATTTAAAAGTAATTGAACAACTACCTCTTTATTGATGACAAAACTTCCACATCATTCTAAATGAGTAGGATGTCATCTATATATATAGAATTAGAAAAATAATGACATTCCCTTGTACACTCATGATTTATTCACTAAGAAATCTTCTGGTATCTTTTTGTAGATTAACTTGCCTTCCATAGGAATCACCCTACTAGAAAGTTCTACAAGATCCCAGAATTTATTAGAATACATAGATTCCAACTCTGATTTCATAGTAACTCACCAAAACGATCTGTATCCACATCGGTTCACGCTTCCGTGTAGCTTACTAGGTTCAACTCATGTTTAACAGGGATGTCCATAATGGTCTCACCTAAAAACATGATTCTATCGGTTGGATGATAATCCTCCCACTACATTAATGTACCGATGCAGGAATCTGTGTACTAGATGATGCTGACGCATCAATAGGGAATTCATCTATAATTCTAAATCTCTATACTAAGTGTGTTCATATGT